TGATTCAGACAGCTGAATATTTGATATCTTAGGACCTGAATAGTTTCATATTCAGCAGTTTGGGGGCCTAAAAATGAGCAGTTGGCCCTTAGCTGTTCACCCATAACACTAATCTTAATGTTTAAACAGATTCAATCAATCTGCAAATAGCGCAGCATAGACAGAGTTGTCCACCACAGGTGCACTCAGCACTTGGTCATTTTTCAAGAACCATTAACAAACTATTGCTCATAGTTACATAAAAAAAAAAAGAAAATGCTAAAAAATAACCTCTGCAGCAAACAGATCTGAAAATTTTGCCCATTTTTAGAATGCAGTTTTTAATTTGACTGTTCTTCTAATATGCCAGCGCATATGCGCGGGACTCAGGTAGCTCCCCGAGTTCACACTGCGTTAGAAGTTACAAAGACAGCGTGACCTCTTAATGGTCAGTTTGCCTTTTAAGCAGAATGAGGCAAGACCAGAGTAATTGAAGAGCATGAAAAATGCTTTAAAATTTGCATTAATCTCTCAAAATCTAAGCATTAATAAAGCATTTAGCTGGAAAGATGTCAAACTAATTTCAGTGCCTATATATTCATAACAAATACATATACAGAACAGCACTCATGAGGATTTGCTGAATCTGTAGCATTTACATGAAAAGAACGGCATTCAATGGTATTTTTATCTAAAAGATGTTTCTTTTAGAGCTTTTTTCTGAGAACTATTATTGTAAAATCCATTTTTATCTTTTTCTACTGTAAACAGACCAACTCAATGGCTGAGTGTTCAGAGTGAATGCCACATGGGTGCAAATATCTTTAAGGATCTTTAAGAGTCCCTGGTTTGATTCACGCTGAACTCAGACCTTTACTGCATGTCAATCTGCTCGCTTTCCTCACATTTCCTGCCTCTGCCACATCTACTCAGTGAAGGTGAAAATGGCAAAAAAATTAAAATAAAAATCTTCTCATAGTGCAACACGATAGTTTCCCTGTACTTTTGCACGCTTATCTAGCTGGGAAACTATTTCAGGAGCTAAACGAGCAAATATAAATGATGTCAGTTCCAGAATAAAGCGTACTATTTCTGACCCTGAAGAAATACTACACCACCACACAGCAAGGCATGTCACTATTTTTTCCTGGAGGTTGTCCAAAGACAACATGACCTAAACCCAAATATCAGACCACTAATTACATTACTGGAGAAATATGTGCAGCATCTTTTCTAGCCACAGAGCTCCCAGTACAAAGGCCTGCCGCTTTAGTATCATTTTGAACAGAACTATAATGTATTCAGCTCTGCCAAGTTTGTGCTGCAGGGAAACGCTTTATGATGCATGTAAAGACAGGTAAACCATGATCCTGCCATAGTCTGGAAGGTAGGGGTGGACAGATAATTAAAGAGAAGGGAAAAGAATCAAGGAAGTAGGTTGAAAATGAAAACCCACATGTGGGTGTTCAAAAAAGAAAGAAAGAAATGGTATGTAAAAGGGTTAGCGAATTATAGCAACCATGTTGAGTAAGTGATTTAAATGTCATACCATAGCGAGCGCTCACACATGATGAGTCCACTAAATAGGCTTGCAAATTTAGCCTGGAAAGTAATTATACATAGGCTCTTCCTAGTATGGGAATAACGAATATTTTGTAATTATGGGCCATTGCAGAATTTCTCCATCCAGGAAATAAAGCTATTATCAAGTCAACCAAAAGAGCAATTTGTAAGGAGATATTAGCCTCTTTTGAATCTTATAAAAGAGAGAATCCCTCTTGCCCAGCGCTCATCTCTCTCACTGTCAAAGCACAGCTTAAGTCCCTTAGTGGTAAGTGATGGAAAGGACAAAATTGGCTACATTCGGGACAATGACTTATTTGAAATTCAAACAACTCTTCACAGCCAGCACCTTTGAGAGGATGGGAGACAAGAGGAGTCTCTTTCATCTGACTAAATGTCTTAGAGGTGAATCTCAGCGCTGACATTAAACAACAACAGCCGAGAAACCGGCACCACTCAAAAGACTACGATGGAGTCAGTTGCTGCATTTGTCTTTCCAAAAGCAATATGTTTATGCTAATGCTCTGTGGCTGGGTTTAACCCTGGATGCAAGTGATGTTTTTTTGTGATTCGACATGTGGTCATGCAGGTGCGGTGCAAAGTCACCAGCCTGCTGTGCAGACGCGCATCAATACGGAAATCTGAAATGATTCCTTCGGTTTAAAATAGAGTGGAGAGAAAACCACAATTCATCACAATGATATTTACGGTAGCTGACTTTGAAATAGACCTTTAACATTTAAAGAAGAATTGCGTTTACACGGAGTAAACCTGCAGGTTCAAACAAGGTAGATGCTAAACTGCATGGAAAATATCTTGTACATTAAGAGACGGAGGGAAAAATAGTTTTTTCAACCACTGTGACATAGCAAAGTATGCAAAAAGTTGCAGAGTTGGGGTTGTATTTTTGAGCAACTGTGTGCTTGCCCTAATCCCCATCTTCTTCTTCCCAACAGGCAGCAAGGAAAATTAATCTGAAACCTACTGTGCTCAAAGGCGTTTGCAGCTGAGACATCTTTCCTTTCACACACTGCCAGTGGCACTTTGGAAACACTCACCATCTCTGTGCTCCCATCAGCATGTGCATCTGAATTTGCCACGTTCAGCAAGACAACTCCCAAAGCACACATACACACACATACACAAATACAGACCCAAACCAAAACAGCAACACAACTCTGGAGCCTTAGTAGTATCCCCCTGCTTTTCTGATAATAAGAAAGTCCTTGGCTGGTTTTTCATTTCCAATCTTAGAGCCTTGCATTGGAAATGCCATGAAATAGACCCCCAAGCCCGACCCCTGGTGTGATATGGAATAACCTGCGAAGAACATCACCTGTTGAATTTGATGTTCAATGCAGCTTTTTACCGCTGCTCTTTCTGAAAAAAGGCAGGTAAGTGAAAACGTGAATGACGGAAAATTGAAATGCTTTGCCCCATGCATGCATTCAGTTACCCTATGCAAAAATACATACAAACAACAACACAGAAAACACACACGCGTACAGTGCATGAACACCCAAACGGACAAGGAAGCCCAGTGGGCAGCGGGATAATGGAAAAAGACTGTGTAAATCCCATATGTGCTTAATCCAGACACTTACAAGAGAGTGTGATTCATACTCTATGACACTCAAATAATACAGCTGAGAGATGCGCAGGGCACAATCACTCCAGCAGGCATGAACCAACTAAATAAGGCCCATGAATCCTCTTTATGGGGACACTACTGAAGATGGTGTAAAAGGTCAGGAATAAACCCTCTGTACTTATTAGCCATTAAAACAATGGCAGTTTCCTGCCACACCTAGAGTTTGTGTATTCACGCAGGATATTGTGTTTGCGTGCGTCGGTGAATGTGTGAACAATAACAAGGGCTTGCATTTGTTTAATGGAGAAATGTCTGTGTGGGAATATGCAGCTCTCTGGTATATAAACTCTTATTTATTACAGAGCTTCGAGTCTTCTCTGCAGACACATCACTCCCAGGCTGTTTTCTCCCTGAAAGTGGGATGTGTTGATGAGATTGTTAAAGTCCTATATAACAAAACGCTAAACATTCTCTCCTCTGTTTGTACGCTGCAGCATATCCTCACAGTTGCAAAATTTTTACAAACCCATACATTTGAAGCATGAGTTTGATTAAGAGGGTATAAACACCTCTTATTATAAAAAAAAGTGTGAAATCTCTCCTATTCAACATTTTTAAATCATTAAACTGGATTTAAACACGCCCCTCGCCCACGCACCTTAAGTGAAGTCTGTACTTTTTGCTTGTCACTCTTTAGGCACTTCTCACAAAGATGTGGCTTTCATTGCTGACGCTTTTATGTGCTATGAAATTTCACTGTAGCTTCAAAGTGTTTTTGTTCGCTTCTGCATTATACGACAGTCATTTGGGTCCGAGCACCCATTGTAATACCTGGGGAAAAATGTACCACTAAATAGCTAACTGGATACTCCAGCAAGGTATGCTCTGCTGATGAAGGCTATACCACAAAATGTGAAAATGAGTCTTTGAATATCAGCAACAACTTTATTGCTCTCACTTATACACAAGCCAACAATATTGCATCACTCCTAATATACTGTGTGCTGCAGACGCTAATGCTGGTACGAGCTAAGCACCAACAGAACGTGTGGGATGATCTTCCAACTTGACCAGAACATCAATTTAAACCTTTTAAGCACCGTTTTAAATTTAGATCGAGGGGTTATAGAAAATAAAAACGGATTTGATTCACCACATCATTTTTTTATTGGCGGTGGTTAATCTGATCGAAGGTTTGCACTGATCATGCTTGTGCTTGAAATTCCAGATAAGATGGATGATGCACTAGCCTGTTTTTACACCCCCACTTACCTTATTCAGTTATACTTTCCAATCATTCACCACAGACAACCGTTACAGTGAAGCAAAACCAACTGCACACAAACTGACAGAGAAGCTAAAGCCCTTAAACTGCAAATGGCAGGTGGTAATCAGCACTGGTTATACTGTTCAAAATAGAGCTGGTCACATCTACTCTCACCACTGACGGCTTCTTTGTAGCGATGTGTGTCTATCTATGTGTGTAAGGATGAACAGTAACAAAGTAAAAGAGTAATAACAATGGCATACTATACATCCACAGAGGGAAGCTTTGCAAAAAACATCATGAAAAGCAGCTGGGACACAAGTGTTATCTGTTTCTCCTTACTGTGAAAGAACGTGCTGCACAGACATGAAAACACAAACTCGAGAAATGTGGGACAGATGCTGAGACACAGCAGAGACAGGCACACAGAAAAAGTGCGATTTTTTGGTTTTTTTAGGTCAATCTCCAACCAACAAAAAAAGAAAAAGAAAAAAAAAAGGATTCAATCCCGTTTTATGCATTCCTCTGCAAACCCAACATATACTTTTAAAGACCAGATCTGTCATGTGGTGGCTGTTGTCTGCTTCATCTCCAACTCACCCTTCTTGTCCCCAAAAAAGAGGGTCTGCTGTGCTGGGTTTGACCACTGGAGGGAGGTGTTGTCATTAAACTCCACACGGCAGGTCAGGTTCGCTATCCCACCCTCTGTCACAGTCACGTTCTGAACCAGAGGATACTGTCCGCTTATCCCTGCAAAACGACACAAACGAGAAACGTGTAAGAGGAGATGTGGATGCATCAGGTGGGGGACAGAGAAAGCTGCTGGGGCAGACAGAGTCAGACAGATGGCACATTTGCGATTGCTCAACTTGTACGGGTGCTTTGGTAATTAAATTCTCTTGATGAATTTCAATTCAGCACAAGGACGGCGATATAAAATAAGAAGCTCTGCAGGTAAACTGGGGAATTTGATTTTTATCCAGCTGTTTGATAAGGATGCTTGTGAAAATAAGTAAAATACTTTAATATCACTGGTGGAGTAAATCAGCTCTTCACTAGGGAAGAAAAGGGAAGAACAAAAATGTCTGGTGTGTTTGAAAAAAAGAAGAAGAAGCTTAACAGCCTAATTACAAAGCAAATGTTCAGGCAGACTGGCCAGTCACTACTGTGTGCTAAATTGGACCCTAACATTGAACACACAGGAGGCATTTAGCCCGCGGTACCAACCCTGAAACCTTAGCTACACAGGGAAGACCAATTAAAAACTGTTCTCTGTGGACTCGTGTGCATGCATGGATGTTAATTTGTGTTAAGCCTGCATCCAAAGAGAGAATCGCAGAGCTCAACTGAGTGATATCATTCTGGGTGACCTCTAAGCTGAATAGAGGGAGTTTTCAGGACCACGGACAGGTCACTTCTGGAGCCAGTTCATCAATAGCCGCCTGCCAGTTTTCAGAACTCTGGACAGCTCACACTGTTGCTCGTGTGGGTGTACATGCGTGTTTGGGTACGCTTTAGTGTGAAGGCTGAGGGAGCAAGTAAGCAAGTAAATAATAATAACCATAAATCTATCCCTGTCCCCATCCCCGGAGGACAGATTTTAAAGACTGTGTGAATGAAGGCTTAGGTAAGAAAGATTATTCATCCCCAGCTAACTCTCACGTCTTAAACCGCCATTCCTCCCCAGGCAAGGATTAGGAAACACAGAAGAAAAGAAAAACATATATAAGGCGAAAAAAATATTTCAAATTTGTGAGATTTTAAACGCCACGATATCCGCTGAACGCTGCTAATTGAGTTTTCTTACACAAGTTAATTATTGCACAGGTAGCATAAACAAACCCGCAGACGGTGTTTTGTCTTCTGTGCGAGCAGACGAGGCAGGGGAAACCCACGCCGAAGGATGTGCGGAGACAGGAGAAGGTGAGGTGAAGGAGAGAAAGAGAGGAAGCGACAGGTAAGTCATGGAGCACGGGTCATTTCCAGTGTTGATTAAGGCCTCCCGAGGTTAATCATGCGTGTGAGAGATAGAGCGGGAAGAGGAGGGAAACGAAGGAAAAATGGATGTGAGCTATGGGAGGCTAGGAATATGTTTTATTCATGAAAGTTTTGCATGAGGCATGATCTGCCAGCGATTTACCGTTCTGCTGCGCCTGCCCTCACTCTCTTTATTACTCCTTCTCTTTAAATCACTTACTTTTTCTCATTTTTTTCGCTCACGCGGTGGAGCGACATGCGGCCCAGTGTGATACATTTTGTTTCCTTTGTGGTAGCCACAAAGAGAAGTTAATGGTTAACCGCCATACCCGATGGTACCAATGATGTTTTGTGAGTGAGATTTTGCAAAATATAATTTTAGTTCATTACCGCAGCAGATGTGTCTGGGGAGCCGCTTGCTTGTTGTGTTGCCAACTCTTCACTTATATCTTAAAATATAATAGACGAGTTTGTTTTCCAAATTATCTGCTTATGACAAACAAGGAAGAATTGAGTGATTTAATGAGTATGGCAAAATGCCACGTATGTCTTGGGGGAAAATGAGCGTTTCCAAAATGTGGCTCGCTCATTCAGATTTTCACTAAAGACTTACGGAGTAACCAAATGCACAAGTATCACAGCATCAGATTGTAATATCAGAAAATGATCAACTATATATATATATGTATATATAAATATATATGTGTGTGTGTGTAAAAAGATGCATAGTCACTGTGCTATGATTCTAATACATTTTGACTACGATTCAAAAAGATCAAACTTTCTTCACTGGTTTTGGGCTCCAAATTTTTAAGTCTTACCAGCGGAATCTGATCGATATGTGAAAATCACTTGTTTTCTTTAAATTCAAACATTTATCCGTTTGTAAAATCACACATTTAAAAACGTTTACACCAGTGCACATGGCTAACTTACGCCCGCTAAATCACATCTCAAAATATAACACCCCATGATCCAGTGTGACTCTTCATCTAATACATTTGAATGCCCACATCGCTCTCTTATCACACCTTTAAAATGCTAGTTTGCAGCTTTGCCTCGTACTGACTGAGCTGATCCTGCTGGAATTTGATAAAACTATTTTTTAACAACAGCTACTTCAACAAGGAAACAGATGGATACCCTGGCTAATTACTCGGCATTGCGTTAGCACTATGTTGTAGATATGTTGTGTAACACACCTCATTTTATTTTGTTTTGAATGTAGCTTTATTCAAATCTGTATAAAGCTACATTCGGTAGCAGAGGCACACTGGTCTATCAGGCCGATGTAAAGATATTTATGCCATAGGTTTACTTTGGCTAGACACACTAAACTATTAGCTTTTACATTTCATCTCTCCTCTTCTTTTCTTTCCTCTCCTACACAGATCTACAATAGTCCGGGGATCCCTCTGTCTATGCTTTGCGTCAGTGTCTGGTGCTACACTTCCATTGGGACTGAAAGGGCCAAAGGGGCCACAATGATGGTTATATTAGAACAGCGTAGTGTTCTTTGCGCCTAATTGGCCAGTGGAGTAGGTTCTTCCATTCTCCCCTCTGGCCAGCCAGACCTGATTTAAATGTATCTCCTGAGGGAAGGAGGCAGCTGTTCTCTCCTGATTTCCATGTCTAAATTTAGGCCCTTTCCTCACTTCAACTCCACTCTTTCTCCTACTTTCAGTTTCTTGCTCTGTCTTTTCCAGTTCACATCCATTCCACTCAATTCCCTCCACCCTCTCTGTCACGTTTTTTCCTCTAGTTGATCCCTGAAGGGTGGCATTTCCACTTGCTTTGTCTCTCATTTTCATATTCTCTCTGTCTCCTGCTGCTCCCTAGTCTTTAAAGTTTATCTTGATCCTACCTCTTTTCTGTTGCTCAATTGTGCTCTATCTGTCACGGCGAATGGGGTCATTTTAATTGCCCTCCACCTTGACTGACATGCTAAGGCTAAGACAGGTCAACAATCCTCTCATCTACATGACATTATAAAGTAATGACATTATGAAATTAGCTCTGCTTTATTTAGCTCGAATTAGATCATTTACTATACTGTGCTAAAGTTTCAGACACCTTAGCTGTAGATTCTTATCCATCACAAATTACCATAAAGGTGGGCTCTGATTGGCTCTTAATTCATTCTGCAGCATCAAAAGAACCCTGCATGCACACACGAAGCTGCTGTAACTTCAGTGACAGGAGGAACTAATGCTATAGCCCCCACACAGCTCCCACTTTACTTTTAGTGCCTAAACATGAAAGGCATTATAGAAAAATGCACGGGCCAATTCAGCCGCTTCTTGCCCAAGCAAATGACTGGACAAATAACACTGATACGAATATAAGAGTATCCTGGGTGCTTCCTGTCTGCTCCCCCACATGACCTTTCAAGCAAGAGCAGCCGAGTCTACTAACCTTTCTTATTTAGGCATTCAAGAAGCAGAGAAAAAGAGAGAGATGCAGCAGACAGATGGACAGCCTGGAGCTACTGACCTTTATACCAGGACTGGAGCTCAACTGAGCTGTAGAGCTGTGATGTATGGCCGAGAATACAGGATTACAGGACGGGAAGAGGCAGGCCACAGTTTTGATTAGCTGAGTCACCCTTTAAGCCAGTCAAGCACAAGTGATAATTGCAGGCTTGGGATCACGCTTAAAATTTAAAGGACAATTCCAGATTAGTAGAGCATGCCCATAATTTGTGTGGGTTATGAAAAGTAAGATGTGAGGACTGGCAAGGAGCTAAGAGTTAGCTTGTTAAGTCTGGCTATTATCTACCACGTTAAATACAATAATAAATATGTGTATACATTTTTCTGCTTGCCTTTGTTTCCTTGTCCACACAAGTTAGGTTAATCTCTGGGTTTGTTTAAAACTTTAATTTTATTTCCAGCGCTGGGAAAAGAGAAGTTCTAATACTGAGTGGGAGCTCTTGTGGGACTCCCTTGGAATTAGGAGGCACAATGTTATTACCGCAAGTAAGAACAATAGTCAAAAGCACAAAAATAAAACCCACAATGTAACACAGTAGAACTGCATTTAAACTGTTAAGCTCAGAGCAATTAATCATTTGAACCTGAACTAGATCTGCAGGGCCTTAGAGAAGAATTTCCCATTATCGCTATATGTTATAATAGAAGAATAAATGTATTATGAGCACTTGCTGATGTTTTTCCAATAATCCTGTGTTAAAAAATGTGCATTTGAAACCGCATCGAAGGTTTAGCCACCCTGCAAAGCATATTCTCAGATGCTCTGACACTATAAAGCGTGGCCTTTAAGTGGCTCACTGTTAAAAAAGGCATCCCACTAAGAAGATAACGAATGAGAGGCAAAAGATTACATAGGACATGACAGCTTTGCCATGACCAGTTAGTGTCTATAAGGTTACACAGGTGGCTACGCAGCTGGGTACACAAGGTTTTCAGAGTGATTCTCAAAGTGTCAGGCAGCAGGGTGGCCTGGTGATTGGAGAGAAGGTACAAGGTCAACAGTTTTATCATCTCAAGAGCTGGTGTGAATTCATCAGCCAGGGATGTATCCTGTCACAGCGTCCTTGAGAATAAAAACTCTCCAACCTCTTCACTTGTTTAAAGCATCAGAAAAAATATTGAACACGCAACTGGAAAAAAATAAACATAAAAATACGAATACGCTGTCATCTCCAGGAAGGAAAGGCTAGGGCTGATCACATGAAGCACAAAATGTGGTTAGTAACTTCCTGGAACAGAAGTTAACATGTCAGAGAAGAGCATCATCACTCACTGCCCTCA